TGTCTCCCTCTGGCTAGAGGCCCAGCCTCATGCTTGTTTCGGGGTCCATTTTTATTTATCCTGAAAGACTGAGGGCAGAGATTTAATTTCTCTGAAGCCTTGCCATATTCCCCTAGGAAAAACGGTCATTCCTCACCATCCAGTCATGTCCTGTCTCCCACGGCGTGCTGCTCAGTCCTCTGTTACAGCATCTGTCACGCTTCAGGGTGATTATCTGTAAGGCATTATGTTTCTCCCCTGCAGACTGCGAGCAGCTTTGATCTGCTCTAGCTTTGTTTTTCTTCCAGAAGCTGGGTGGGGCCGGGCAGCAGCAGGCACGCTGCAAATGACTTGCGTTTGAACGAACATGAGGAATGAACATGAACATGAGGAGGAACATGAGGAAGAGTCAAGAGAGTAAAAGTGATGGGGGCGGTGGTAGGGGCTGGGGGCCACCAGCTGTCCCTGGCCTGGATGGATAAATGGCCCCTGCACATGCAAGCAGCACAGCACAGCAGCCCCGGGGCTCAGAAACTGCAGAGGGCAACGAGCCCTGAGACCTTGTCCATTCGCCTCAGGAAGAAGCTCATCCGGCCAGGTGTCCAGGCGGGACTCTAGCACATGCCACGGAGAGGGAGGGGCAGATGGAGGCAGAAGCCGGGAGAGGGAAGAGAAGGGGACCTGTGCAAGGAATGGGGGAGACTAAAGAAACAGCTCTGAAGAGTCCCACGGTGGCTACAAGTCAGGAAGCAATTACTGTAGTGAGCGGAGAATCACTCTGACTTGCTTCTAAATGAGGGACACTATGGAAATCCTCGAACTCCTGCTGCAGCGGTGAAAGGAGGAGCTTCCGTAAGGCAAACACAGTGCTAAGAAGAAAGCTCCACAGGTAGAGAAAGGCAACACTCAGCCTCCCCCACCTCCTGCTGGCTCTTCCGACGCAGCCAGCACTTCTGCCTTCCCGGCCCAGCTGGGCCTCCAGCCCCTCAAATGGAGAGTGGAAAAGGCTTCCGTGTTTCTCCTGCTCATCGACCTCCAGCAGCTTCATTCCAAGTAAAGCCAAGAGGATTCCTGGGGGTGACCACTCTTTCCGAGGGCACCTCTAATGGAGCTCACGACATCATTTGGCGGCCACGAGTTTTGTGGTGAATAATGACTACCCATCAAATTCTGGGTTGTGACAGTTTTGGTTGGGTTCCCCTAAACCCAGACTACTATTTTTTTTAAATATATAAAGCTCTTTTCCATTCATACTTGAAAAACTAAACTAAAAACCAGCACTTTTCCCATCTCGTGCTCTCCATGATTTCTCCAGAAATGATCTGTGGCTGCTCGGTGACTTGGTTTCATCTTGCAACAGAAAGCAAAGGTCTCTTCCAAAAGCACAAGCTCCTTTCAGTCTCAATTATCCCGCTAGTGGAGCCTGGAGCGGAAAGGGCAGAAGGCACGCACGCCCGGAAAATAGTAGAGCAAAGTCCTCAGTTCCACAAAATTAGCTTCCCCATGGTGACCTGCTGTGGGCTGTTTCTATCCCTTCCCACCCTCAGCCAGCCCGTCATCAAATCTTGGCGCTGCTTAGCCTCACATGCCTCCTGAAGCCATCACCCCGTCTACACTGTGACCAGCTTCACCTGTCTCATCTCTGACTTCCTACCGCACACAAAAGGTCCACAGTCCTTGCCGTGACTACACGGGCACTGCTCCCCAGTGCCGTTCTTCCGTTCTAAGATGCACATTTGTTTCACGTTTTAACATCCTGAAAGTGGAATGCATCTAAAAATCAATAGTGCATCATAATTTAATTGTCAGCGTTTTTTCTTTCTCAGCAAAACATGAAATAATGGTGGGCCTTACACTCAATGGCATCTAAAGGTTTGTTAAAATATAGGATGTCCCTCTACTGGGCACAGTGCCCAGCACAGAGCACATTGATGACTGCACATAGCAGCGATCAATCAATACCTGGTAAAGGGGCCGGCCCGGAGGCACGGCGGTTGAGTTCGCACGTTCCGCTTCAGCGGCCCTAGGTTCTCCGGTTTGGATCCTGGGTGTGGACATCGGCACGACTTGGCACGCCATGCTGTGGCAGCATCCCACATATAAGGTGGAGGAAGATGGGCACAGACGTTAGCTCAGGGCCAGTCTTCCTCAGCAAAAAGACGAGGATTGGCAGCAGATGTTAGCTCAGGGCTAATCTTCCTCAAAATAAATGAATAAATACCTGCTAAACACCTGCAAACAGACACACGTTTCCTGACGATCTGACGTCACTCAGCTTTTGCTGTGTAACACATACACCTCAACAATCTCAGGGACGGACAAGAACAGAGACTGACTTTCTTGCTCATGGGTCTCCAGGTCAGCAGTATCTTGGCCTCAGCTGGGCCCGACCCCGGCTGCAGAATGGGTTCAGGTCTGTTTCACATGGCCCCACATCTTCCCTGGACCAGGAGGTTCCCAGGGTACGCTCGTCTCCCAGCAGATCACTCGAGTGCAGGAGACAAAGCACCAGGGTGCGCACACTCCACAGCGCTCTCCCCATCACGTAACCAACCTTCCACAGCCAAAGCCCAGCATCCGTGCGGTGGGGCCACTGCCTCTGGCTACTCTGCCCAGTCACAGGGCAGAGGGAGGGGGTGAGGAACTGAGATTAAAAATCCCATCTCCCACAGGCCTCACGTGGCAGGGGGAGGACGTGTGAGGGACACCAAACTCCAAGTTCAGCAGCACTAAAGGACAGTTCCCTAACAGACCACATATAACACGGGCCTGGCCGTGATGGGCGGAAGGCATGAGAGCCAGTGAGCGAGCAGAGGTGGCCTGCTGCCAGCGGCCACAAGCACGCTCTTCCTTTGATCCCTCAGCGACCGGGTTTGATTTGGGCCTTTATCAGAGAGGGGCGGGTCAAAGCTGTTGCTGCCCCCGCCTCTCTTCACGCAGCTCTGTGTCTATTCACGGAAGCCGGACTCCAGCTCCCCACCAGGGTGCTCACTGGGAAGCCCGGCCAGCCGGGGTGTCAGGAGCGGAGTGGAAGGACGAGGCCCCCGCCCTGAGATGCCAGGCACAGACGCGCTGACAGGCCTGGTCAGGACTGAAGGGACTGGGAGGGGTTCTGACTCGCCGACTTCACGTCCAGGGCTGCTGTGGAGACAGACACTCCCCAGTGCATCGAGGACGCTCTCATCCCCCAGGGCCTCGTCTCGCTTTGCTCCTACTCTCTGGTCAGGTCACCCTCCAGCAGTGTCACAACCCCTTGGGCACAAGTCTCCTGTGACACTTACGTTGGCTGCGCCCTGCCTGCGTGTGACTTCCTGGGGGCTGGTGGTCTGCCAGGGCTGCCGTAACAGGGTACCACAAACGACACGGCTTAGATGACAGCACTTCGCTGTGTGGCGGGCCTGGGGCTGGAGGCTGCACGGCTGACCCCTTCTGAGGCTCTGACGGAGTCCGTCCCACGCCGCTCTCCCAGCTTCTGGTGGTCTGCCGGCAATCCTGGCGTTCCTTAGAGACGCCTCACCCCAACTTCCACCTTCATGCTCACACGAGGTTCTCCCCATGTGCGTGCCTGTGTCCAAATTCACCCTTTTGATCAGGACACCGTCAGACGGGACTAGAGGCCCACCGCACTCCAGGAGGTCCGCATCTTCACCGCATATGGAATGACCCTATTTCCAAACAAGCCCACGTCCTGAGGCGCTGGGGTTTAGGCGTTCAGCGTATGAACATGGGGGCAAGAACACAATTCAAGAGGAACCAAGACCACATCCGCCTCCCCTGCATGCAGCACAGGGCCTGACACACGGAGGCACCCCGTGACCCGCCCACTGACAAATCCCAGCAAGGACTGCGCTCTCTCTCCCCCCTCCCCTTCCTCTCTGTCTCCCTCTCTCTCTCTCTTCCCCTCTTTCTTCCCTCTCTCTCTCTCCCTCTCTTTATCTCTCTCTCTTTCTCACACACACACACACACACACACACACACACAATGCTACAGAAGAAACAGGGCAGAGCCATCACAGTCAGCTTCTGGTGAGGTGCCAAGCCTCACGGCCAGTTTTCCAAACTCTCCTCAAGCGTTATCACCAGGATACAGGCAGCAAGATAAAGAAACCGTAATCCAACTGCCAAAATGCTCGATTAACTACCCTGCACGGGGGCCCTTTTGGAAGAGCTTGACCCCCCAGCATCCTCCTGCAGCAGGAAAGGTACAGGTATCCTTAGTCCTTCTTACTGAGAGGAAAACTTGAGGGAAAAAGAGGGAAAACATGCCAGGCTGCATACACACCCTCCCCACGAGCTCACAGGGAGGGGCCTGGTGTTCCTGGTCCCAGCAGGGCGATAACCGGACAACAGTGTCACGGGCTGATGGAGAACGTGCGTTTGCACATCCAATGACCCGAGTTCCCATCCTGGCTTTACCGCTGTGTGGACGTGGCACAACCACGGAACAACCTCTCTGTTCCTCGGGCTCTTTACCTAGAAAATGGGGCTCCTTTTCTGTGAGAAGAACCCCCACAGGGATACTGTGAGGACCAAACAGGAGATGCAAGTAAGATGCTCTGAACGGCACCTGACATAGTGCTCGAAGTGACAGCTGCTCTGCAAACACCCTGTGCGACCCCCTCCCAGAGGTCCGGCCCCTCACCGCCACCCGCAACGTCACCAGCTCTCTGCGACCAGCGCAATCAAGACGGGGCCCGCTGGAGACATCTTCCGTGTATTAGTCTCTATTACCACACAATGAGTTACCCCAAAACTTAAAAACTTAAAAAACAAACATCTATTATCTGACAGCTTCTGTGGGTCAGAAATCCAGGGGTAGGTTCGCGCTGGCTCAAGGCCTCTTTACAAAAGGCTCTTTATAAGGCTTGTGGCCCTACAGGCCACAGCAAGGTGTCTCCCGGAGCCACAGATAGCTCAAGGTCGGACCAGCAGAGGAGCCACTTCCACGCTCATGCAGGCGGCCGCTGGCAGGCCTCGGCTCTCTGCTGGCAAGTACTTTTCAGAGCCTGAGAGGCACCTACCTTGAGAACTTTCACAGCTTTCCTCGTCGCTGTTGTCCTGACAGTTGTTCTGCCCGTCGCAGATGAAGCTCTTGTCAATGCAGAGGCCGTTCTTGCAGTGGTAGCGGGCAGTGGAGCAGAGCAGAGGGTTTGCTGCTGTGAAGGGAAACAGAGCAGATCACCAGGAGGCCAGCGAGTCCCCGTGGGGATCCCCGGAACCTTCTACAGCCAGGACCATGCCCTTCTTGGGATGCAGAGAGCTCATCCCCTAAGAGGGCTGACTCAAGTCCGTCCTGGGGGAGTGACCAGCCGATGACCTGGACAGGACAAGACTTCCTCTGTCCATTCTAAGAGCTCCTTCCTCCAAGTCACCATGCTGGTGCCCTGTAACCATGACAACAGGGCCAGAGGGCAGGGCTTCATTCACCCCAGGTGGGCTAGCAGCCTCTGAGGGGCCTGGGGCAAACCCTGAACCTCCCAGGAGAGTCAGGAGCAGAACGGTTGGTAGCATAAGAGACACACAGAGGAAAGCAAAGCCAGGGGAGTGGCCGAGTCAAAGATCTGAACCCCTGCCACAGAGGGAGTGATGTTGAGATCTGGACCAAGAGCAATGTTGGATCATTCTGCTCCATCCTCATGTATCTTTATAGCTCAGCAAGGTAAACTCAGTGGTCTCAATCTTTTCTCTGCAATCACAGACACCCATGAACCCCCCTGGTCAGCCTGAGTGGCTCCCCCGTGAAGCTCCTTGTTCTAGGCACTTTCAGGAACCTCAAAAGAAATAACAGATATGGTCCCTCCCCTCAAGGAAAAGGATGGCAACTGGCCAGGGTGAGGGCAACACAAAACTATTGAACACATAAGCACATCTCCACAGAAATCAGTATTTCTCCAGTGCAATTTATCCCGCTTCCCTGTTCCTTGCAGAGCAATTCAAACAAGCCTCACTGCAGGGCTCTATTTCAATAAACAGAGCAGCAAAGTAGAAATTACTCCAATCCCAGCCCTGCCAGTTATTAGCTGTAATCTTGGGCAAATTACTTCACCTCTCTGAGCCTCGGTTTCCTTATCTGCAGAAAGGATATTTGTGGGGCCCAGTGCAAACTGAAAATGTGGGGTCAACTATTCAAGAATTATTTAAAAATTCAAGAAGGCAAGGGCAGGGCATAAAACCAAGCGTGGTATCCTTGCAGGCTAAGCACGGGCTCTGCGTGACTGTGCCGGTCACAGGCCCAGGACGCTGGCCCTGCCACTTCGAGCATTGACTTGAGCATGGAATGAGATGACGGGGACAACACGTGCAGCACAAAGTCTGACAGGTGCACAGGTTCAGGGAACGTGAGACATGCTCCCCCCGAGCTACGTCTGCCTCAGTCCCCCAGAGTGTGGCCCTCCCTGAAGGAGGGATGTTGGTGATGATGGAGAGGGGTCCCCCCGATCTCGGGTAACAAACTGAGGCTGCACCTGCATTACACGTGGTGGCCGAGCACCAGGGCGGGACGCCAGGCCCAGCAGCGAAGACGGCCATGGCATCAGCGGCAGGTCCGTCCCGGTGTCTCTCAGCGGTCCCCAGCCTCAGGTGGCAGCTGTAATCTACCTCCCCCAGATGCTTCACTGCCGAGTTAAGATACACGGAGACCGTGGCTGAAAGGACTAAACCTCACAGGGCTCCGTAAGCCCAGAGGGCTGCAGGGGCTTTTATTTTTTAACTGTTCGACTCGAAGTTTGATCTGAAAGGTCAGAGGAGCCAGAGGGAGGCGGGAAGCCAGAGCTCTCGGTTTTGAAGATGATGGACGAGTGCAGAAGTCAAACAAAAGGAGTCTGGCCTGAAAATGGAACTTTTAATTATTCACATGACTGTGGGCCAGAGAACGATTCAGCCTGATCAAGCCGAAAGCAAGGTCCGACTTCAGCCAAAACCAAAATGGGGAAACCCCAAACCACAATCACATTTGGTTTCTGCCCACAGCAGCCCTCCAAACCCCTCAGCATCCCACCATGGCGGCCTTCAGCTTCCCTGGGACCTTGTGGGTCACGTCTACGCAGCCAAGCATAAGCAACAACCAGCTCTCTCAAACGCACAGCCTCAGAAAGGCACTCTGACAGCTCCAAGATGGGGCCGCAGCAGCTTGTGTGGATGCCGCAGGGGGCGGGGCGGGGGGGAGGGCTGTGCTGAATCAGCCGTGCTGACACTGCTGGCATGTACTTCCTCCTTCAGCCCTGGACCCTTTCCACTCACAAACTTTCCCAAGGAAAAGAACTCATATATGTGTGCACACGTACATACTACATATATGTGTGAGTATATATGTATGTGTACATACAGACCACACATATCTTCAAGATGAACTAAGACTGATGATACCTGAAGACACAGCTCTGATAAAAGAATCCAGACTGATAGAAAACCAAGTCACAGACTGGTTTTAATGCATATAACCCAAAGGACTAGTAGCCAGAATATATAAAGCACTCTCACAACTCAAAAGGAAAAAGATAAACAACTCAGTAGAAAAACGGGCAAAGGATACAACCAGCAACCCCCTAAGAGCCATGCAGACGGCAAGGACGCCGTGGAGAAATGCTGACTGTCATCGCCAGGAACGAAGCATCTGGAACCACACCAGCCTTGCCAATGGGAGGTCTAGATACTGGGTTGCTGGCAAGGATGTGGTGGGAGGGGAAGTCTCATGGACTCCTGGCAGGAGTGCAAACTGGTAGAGCCACCTGGAGACCAATTTAGTAACATCTGGGAAAGTTTAAGGTACACACGCCCTATGGCCTAGTGATGTCACTTCCAGCTGCACGCTCCAGGGAGAATCCTGACCAAACAAAAATGTTGACTGAAGCACTGTGAGTAAAATCAGAAATTAGCAAAGACCCAAAGGTTGGCCCACAGGAGAACAGATACAATGTGTCCATTGTTGCAACAGGATCTTGCCCCAGGGCTGGCTCACTTTTCCTGGAAATGGACAGAGAGTAAATATTTTAGGCTTTGCTAAACGATTCAGTCTTTGTCTCTGTCTTAACCGCTCGACTTTGCCATTGTAGTGCAAAGCAGCCACAGAAAATTCCTAAACAAAGGGCATGGCTGTCTTCCAATAAAACTTTATGTATAAAAACAGGTGGTGGGCTGAATTTGGCCCACGGGCCACAGTTTGCTAACCTCTGCTGAGCAGCAGTGAAAAAGGAATGAACCTGAGTCAAGATGGATAAATCTCACAAATAGAAAAGTGAGAGAGAAAAGTTAGAGAAGAATGTGTCTAGTGTCGTACCACTTATACGAAGTGACGCACGCTACTTATTATTGATGGATACAAAAACATTCACGGAAAGAATTAAAACTTCCATTGGAAGAAACAACCCTAAGTTCAGGACAGCAGATGCCTCTGGAGAGAAGGGAGAAAGCTAAGATCCCAGAAGGTATACTGCAGACTTCTAATAATATTTGGTAACATTTTATTATTTTAAAAATCTGAAACAAATAAGGCTACATGGTAATAAGATTTTTTAAAGTGAGGTATAATTGACATACAACATTGCATTAGTTTCAGGTGTACAACATAACGATTTGATATAGGTATATACTGTGAAAGGATCACCACAGTAACTCTAGTTAACATCCGTCACCACATGTAGTTATAAAATTTTTTTGCGTGATGAGAACTTTTAAGATCTACTCCCTCAACAAATTTCAAATATACAATCCAGTATTATTAACGATAGTTAATATAATTATATTATTATATGTATTATCAATAGCATATAGTATTATCAACTATAGTTAATATAGCTAAAATAATAGAGTAAAAACTATAGGTATATGATTTTTTAAATGGGGTGTTGGGAACGCAGTTGTTCATTTAATTTTTCCTTCCCTTTTCAGTGAAAGGCTTCACCGAACATTTTTAAGAGTCTAGGCTGGCAGAGATGCCCCAGTGATGACGCGCTTTCCTCTTCCTTTCCTCTTCCCCCACAGAAGTCTCGCTGGCCCACAAACACCTGTGTTTAGCATCATCTCCCACACTCAGGAGCCCGGGTGCACAGAAGACTCAGGGACACGCTGGCAAACAACCATGCCTGGGACTCCGCCTCGTCAACAGCTCCTCCTAAAACACTGTGAACCCAACAAAACCCAACGCAGGGCAGAGAAACAGAGAGAGGATGCTGGAGGAACACTCCCCAAGCCGGCAGCGTGCCACAAAAAAGGCCTAGGAACCATCAAAACACACGTCGCACTGTTCGTGCTCTTCAAGGGCCAGGAGCTTCCTGCCTGCCTCTCACTCAGGGTCTGTTGATTCTCCAATTACATAAATTCCAACGAGGTTTGTGTTCCGGTTCCCAAGGACAGGCACCTTAGGAGGGAGAGGGGACGCTATGGCCACCCTGCAGACAAACTGCCAGCGAAAAATAAAAGCTGACAACCGTGGGAGGAGATAGAAAGGCTCTAAAAAGCAACCTTAAGAATTCCAAAAGCGGAGGAGCCAAAGATAGTTTCAAAAGAGACCGCCAAATTCTAAAAGGAGCCAAGGCAAGGCTCTGCTACAGCCCAGTCTAAAAATGAACACGCCTAAGGACGGCCCTGCGCTGTTACTGATTAAGCCAAGAGGCACCACATCGTGGAGAGATCCCTGTCAACAACGGTCCTCTGAGGCAAAAATGCCCCATTATCAGGCAGACTCACTGATCCCGAGCGGCAAACCTCCCCAGGGAGCCCACGTCTCACTATGTCTCTCCCAGGGCCTCTGCAGCTACTTTCCAGGCTCAGCCAAATGTCACAGTGCGTGTCTGTGGGACCAGGGCTGACCAACCCTGTAGACTCTAGGTGAGCAGGGCTGCAGTCTCCGGGGGTCCCAGGGTCCCAGGGAGCCTCACCGGGACCCTACAGCAGTAACCACCCCGCGGACAGCGCATCAACTGACCGGGAACGCTTGGTACTCAAGGATGCTGTCTCAGCATCTTCTAGCAATATTTAAGGTGCTCCAAATGCATGTTTTCTTTGTCCTTGCTAAGGTTTACCAGTCACTGAAAAATGCATTATTTTACTAGTTAAGTAGGGAGGGCAACGTTGTATTTAGTTCAAAATAGATGGAGAAAACTGTCTGCAGAGTCAACTTCAAAAACTCAACTGTGGACTCAGAAGCGTCTCAGTTATG